AGGAGGATGTAGGTTTTTTTTTTAATTTTTCGATATAATACAATGCTTTGGATGCTTTTTAATAAGAACTATGCCGAGCCAAGCGCTCGATTGGTAAATTTTAAACTTTTTTTTTTTTTTTATTATATTTAGAGTAATAAAACTTAGATTTAATAATAATGTATTTTAGTACTGACAATACTATTTATGCAATACCAAAGTGTAAACATTATGAACAGTAGTGAACATCTCAAATCACGATAAGGAAGGGTGCAGATTGGAATCGCGGTGACAAACACCCGGACCATTGTGGGTGCTAAATTTGTTTCGCCATTTCCGATCTCGTCGCGAGATTATTTTACAGAAAAGGCGCTATTGTTAGAAACCGGGACAGTGTATTCTGTCTTAAGTTCATATTGTTTAGTAATTTAAACACCTAAATACTATGTAATATTATCAAACGGTAGAACATAACTGAAGTAGGTATATATAACAAATATAGCTTAAATCAATTACATTAATACGGTTATTTCAAAACTCCATAGAAATAGGTTTGTTTTTAAACAGGATAATATCGGATTTCACTTTCAAATCTTAAAGATACACTGTCAGTTATAATAAGATCCGATCGAAAAAGGTCCTCCATTATGTCCACAGAGTATTGTTCGATAATGTTCTATTCACTATGATCCGACTACGCAAACATCTGCTCGTACGCCTACGACGCTTTTGTAAAACTTTTGTAGTCTGTTGTTTATGCTATTTGTTGTTATCTAACCATGATTACATTTGTGATTTACTATCTGTAGAAGTACAGCGTTACAAAAAAATCTAGAATATATGATACAATACAATTTATATTTGTTTCATTCAGTTTTCACATTAACTTTCTTTTTAATTTTTAGTCTAGATATAATACACAAGCGTTCACTTACCCGCATGTATCATTTAATAAGCGTCAACTATTTTATTTTTATATAAATTAAATGCACGTTGAATAAACGAATGCGGGTCCCGAATGATTTCGATCATCACCCTTTCAATATTGTCTAATGAGCAAGAATTGGTCACGCTAAATCTCTTAGAATTATACGTGCGTTGTTTGGTGAAAAATCATTGAGTTATTTAAACAAAATTGTTTCTTGAAAGCAATTAAAATTGAAACAGAACTAAAAATGTTTCTATCGTTTTCAAAACCAACACACCATTGCAAAAATATATTAAATTAAAAATATTTATGACCATTTTGTAATTATGTATTAGAGGGCCTTCCTGGCTGATCAAGCTTAACAAACGCGACCGCTCCTAGGTTCTAATCTCGTAACCGAAATTCGGAATTATCGACAAAATATTTATTACACTAAAATAACTGCCATTTGCATTGCTTACGAGAAACGGGATTCCTATTTTAATTTCATGAAAATATTACCATCAAAACAATCTTATTATATGACGTCGTCGTTAAAAATCATAAAAGACCCTAAACTCTCGACGCAATGGCGACCGGCGCGCGCGCAATACGAACGTTCATTACTGCAATGGAACATTGATTTACCGGGTCAAATCTGTTGACACTACCATCAATACTATTTAAGCCACTAAAATGCTACCCCAACCGAACCGATTCATTATAAAAATATCTTTGAAATATGAAAACGTAAGATGGGTTAAGCAGAAATTATTGGGCATTTTATATACCTAAACAATCTCAAACAGAGAAATAAATAGACATAAATAAGGTTTAAAATACGTATCAACAATTCAACAATGAAAGGATACAATGTTCAGGGTTCATTCTAATCTTTTGGTTTGTCGTAGTTTGATAACGGACGACGTTTTTACAAACTGAATCATACAATTAAATGGTTATTATTGATTCATCAATTTTTAAAACCAATTTTTCAAAGGTTATGATTTAGTAAAAAGCAACTAATACAAGTCACTTTACGGTAATAGTGAAACAAGCATTTTCAAGTAAACTCTTACGCGACGAACGCGACGAACATATTAAATCATTCATTCAACGGAATGAATTTCATTCAACCCGTCTTGCTCGCAGCGGGGTCATTGAGGCCCGTGTTTAGCGAGCAACCATCGGGTCGTATCAATTAAACTATATTACATTGTTACAATGACGAACGCTGGGTTAATTGCTATTGGGATGTCTCCTTGTGATCTTTCGGACCAAAGATCAGGATTATTTATCGTACACCTTTTCATTTCTTATCTGTACGATAATTACGGGATTCAAAGTTAGTAGTAGCAAGATAATTTGAAATCGGTTGCATAAATTGTTAAAATAATTTAACAGAAATCAAGTAATTGACTTTTATTAAATTCGCCTTTATTCTGAGCGTACAATAAAAAACAATGATGAATAATACATTTATAAGTACACTACTGACACTTGTACGTACTTGGTAATGAAAATTATCTTATTGAAAATAACTATAAATTATTTTAAACAATAATTCTTATTTCTATTAACAACAATAAATAACTCACTAATACTAGATGTATTAAAGATTTATAGAAACTTTTGTTGTATATAATCAATGGAAATCTTAAATTGAGTTTTTTATCACGCTATTACTTAAGTAAGTCTTAGATACATACAGTCATAATAAGTCATCACAAAATCGGTTAATTTTACTTCAGTAAGAACATTTGATATTTTAAGTAATAGGTATCATACTTATTGTATTCTTAATGTAACACTTCCTTGCTGGGTTGTGTAAGTTTAAACTGCGTAATACGCATCAATTACAACATTTTATCACGGACATCTGTCGTTGAGAACGAACAATTAATGGAAGTTAGTACAATTGGCCTTACGTCACCCACCAAGGAGGCGGGACAGGAATTAAAATTGATAGCGGTCATCTAGTTATAAAAATCTAGGACACCTTAATTGTGACGTGACGTTTTTAATTGTCATACTGGGCGCAAAGGGAGCGGCCATTGGAATTTGTACTCTAGCAGTTAAATTTAAGGAACTTGTGTATGTAAAATACGTATATAGCATTCATGTATTAGAATAGAAATAACCAAGAGATCCCGTAAGAGTCCACTAATTGGGTAATTTATGTAAAGTATGTAATGTCAAAAAACCTACGTACACATAAATTCTTATTGAATAAAGTAGGAGCAAATGTTGTTTTTACTTGAACTGACCATGAAGACGCATTTGGTCTATCGTAATTGATATTCGTGTCGAAACATTTGTCTACAAGTGGGTTAATTTTTTAATAACACCTTAGTCACCCAACTGTCAGTTTTAATTTTATTTTTTAAATTGGCCACTCTATTACGAGTGGAATAGGTGAATAAACAGTAGGTACAACATGTCTTTATATAAGAAAGCATAATAATTGTATTTTAAAATTAAAAAAAAAATATTGACAGATTGATTGAGATGATTCTACATTTGGATCTTTCACTTAAATTGAAATCTATATTTATTACATATAAAGTCACACTCAAAGCCCCTATTATGATTTATGGGACAGGTGTCGTGTCTATTTTTCTGATTGCTTAATTATAAAGAAGGTTCGGTGACTCCACCTAGTGAAACAATTTATAACTATTTAGAGGACTAAGAGCTAAATGAAATTGAAAGCTATAACGTACAAACTTAAGATCATAATTCTTATTAGTGCATACGAACACAACAAGCCAACGTTATCAAACTCAGCGGATATCATACATAACAATCACATTCCGAGCAATTCTCATCAACGAGACATCTGCTCGGTATCATAATGACCCTTTTGTTTACCGCGTCATTTCTTCCTTCTGTATAACAATAAAAAATATTAATGTTTCAGTACCGTCGGCCAAATGTACCGCGCTGGGGTCCTAATCGCATTAAGACGGCCTGCGACCGTTCACGGGTTATTATCTTTATACGTTTTTATTTCGGGGGCTGTGTAACGGAAAGGATTCATGTTGAATTACGTTTGCTTGAGATACTGTGCTTATAAATATTGAAAAAAAAGCTATATAGTGCCAGTTGAAATGTATTATCTGATAAAACTACGGCCAAAGAATCACTTTCAACCCTAAAGCGCCTGGAGAAATATCATTCTAATTATCAACATTGTGATTGTATCAATTTGGCTACTTTTTACTATTACTGTCTAGAGTGTAGGTACTCTACTCGTATCATTTTTGTACTTAAAAGTATTAACTTAAAAGTTTTTAAAAAATGCTTTAATCAGCTCAGTAATTAATTATTGTATTTAAAATTTTTAAACCATTATAAATTACTAAGCAAATACAATATCTTTCTTTATTTCTTATCGCAAAATATGTACATATGTAAGTATTAAACGTACGCGAGAATTACACATAAAAGAACTTTCATTGTTCAACTTTTATCATACTGTAAAGTTAAGACCTTAAGCAGTCATCTGAATGTGCAGTCGTGTTAGACCGGTACGACTACCAACCGGCTTCCCTCGTAGAGGTGGTCCCCATTTTTGACAGGTTTAAAACGTGAAATTTATGAGTTCACTTCATGGCCCTGCACAGCACAGTTACTTACTTAAAATCAAATTAAAAATAAGTAAACAAATATGTTTCGCCTTTTTTAACCGTTTAATGTGTTCTAAAGCTACAAACTACTAAACACTATAGACCAACGTGGGCGTGCATTAGGCATTCACACCGTCAGTTAAAAAAAGGTATTGCATAATTTTATTCTAGCTATTCATTACCTCGGTGAGTTATTAAGACGAGTTAGTTCCTTGGCACATTGCCGCTAATTACTCATTTAGCTACCATTACAATACCTCATAGTCATCTTCGAGTGTTTTATGAGACTATTATATTGTTTGTAACATATACCTATGTCTGAATAGTACTTTGTTTACGCCTACTGCGCTTTCAGCTTACACTTTCACAAATATCAATATATAATGGTACAAACAGGACTTGAACCTAGTTCTTATCAACGATTTGTCCGGTTCGAAGGTTGACCTGAGCCCAGCTGTGCGTATAACAATTTCTTTGAATCCAGAATGTTTCGGAGGGCTGGGCGTTGTAGGTTTATTTAATATTAAATCGTGCTGTAGAACTCTCAATATTGTAACACTAGTAACTACAAATATAGACTAAATAGTACAAAGACAAAACAGATGGCGCTAGCGTAGCATATTTGATTTTTGTTAGGGATACTCTCCATCTTCAATCATTTGAAACGACGGCTCGTAGTTAAAATAAATCGAAAATGTTTTCTTTAAAACATTTAACAGTTCAATCTTTTACAAGTGAAATATTTTGATACCATTTCTTCTGAGTATTATATCAGCGTATTTCCAGCTGGTGAATAACAAATAAACAGTACTTAATGTAGTGTAAAGGTCTATTATCTACCTGTCTTGATGGTGTCGTAATGTTCTTGATGCATCAGGGTTTGTGTCGTTAAATAAAATAGCATTATAATTAATAATACACAATTTAATAATGTAGTAACTATTTTACGAAAATGGAATTATATAATATTAAAACGACTTCAATTAAAACTTCAAAAGTGTATAAAGGTCGTCATTAATTAACACTCTAGTAGATAATTCAAATAGTGATACAATTTTAATCAATTTAAATATATCTAAGTTAAGTAGGTACCTAAGTGTTACAGCGTTTCCACACCACGGAGCATTAATGACATTGATTAAAGTTATAATAAAAATATTTATATGAAGTAGAAACGAAAATTAAACAATAATCCTTTTAATGGGACATTGGGAAATAATAAAATTAATTCTTCAATTAACGTTATGTTTCAAAGTGTTAGTCTACAGTTTTGTTACCATAATAAATAATGTAACTTTGTTTCTCTTACAGATGCCTGTGGCCTCTCCGACGTCCCGCACATAGAGAGCTTACAAGAGAAATCGCAGTGCGCCCTCGAAGAGTACTGCCGAAGTCAATATCCAAACCAGCCAACGAGGTTCGGGAAACTACTTCTAAGACTACCCTCACTACGGACTGTCAGTTCGCAAGTGATAGAACAACTATTCTTCGTGAGGCTAGTCGGAAAGACCCCCATAGAAACTCTCATCCGAGACATGCTCCTCTCTGGAAGCTCCTTCTCCTGGCCCTACATGGCGACCATGTGACATTCGATGTGGCGTCAGCTAGCGGCGGCCTGATCCACACCTTACGGCTTCCCGCCGTACCTACCTGGCCAGCGCATCGACTTCCGGTACCGAGACGCATCCGAGGACGCTGTGACGTCATCCAGCGAGGTCCCCGAAGACACGATCGCGCCAGAAGACTTCTTCGCGAGGAGCAGAGACAGCGATGCCGGTCCTTGTCCCACGTTCGAGTCAGCCTTCTACCCTCCTAAGCACGATAGTGACACGAAAGCTCAAAAGACACTGACCATAGACAATTTGTTGAATACGCGAGACGACGCGGCCGATCTGAAGTAGGGTTTAGTCTTAGTTCGAGTTTTGTTCCTCTGTAAATTACCTAGGCTAGCTATTTAATACTGTACATAAAATTATATTGTAAATGTATGTATATTTATTAGGTTAAACGACGTTTTTCTACGGTGTTCAAGGATTTGTTAATCAAAGATTATTTGGTTCGAGCGTTTTGGGCAATATCTGTGCAATGTGAGAATGTGTATAGAAGTAAATAGGCAAGAATTTATGTATATCGTTTCTATGTTAGCGTACTGAATTATCATTTACAAAATGTAAGTTGCCAAATATTTATTCGTTCAGTTGGTACGAAGGTGCTGTCTTTTATTTACATATGTACAAAAATTGTGTAATTCCAAACGCATTTATAGACTTTTTGTAGGGTTTTGTGTTCGATTTCCTTAGGAGTAAAAATGGGCATTATACTGTTTTAATTAATTTAACTAAAAGACATCCTAAGGTACTTCGACTTTTACATATATTCATTTGTTTTATTTGTATGGTTTTATATTTTTGTATTTTCTATAAATATTTTAATAGACAAAGTTTGATATGTTTTATGCGTTGGTTATTTAGAGAAATCGTGTTTTTGTACTTCATTTAGATGCAGGCTTCAATCAATGCAAAAAATAAATTGTGAAATAGTTATTCTAGAAATTAATATAATTTAACACATGTTTGACGTTGTAACGTGTCATTTGAAAAATACATATTAAACGAATTAAATTATATGATTGCACAGAAGTCTGAACAACTTGTCTGTTAATAAAAGTGATCAGTCAACAACACAAGTGATAAAATAATTCTTTTATACATATATTATTATTTGCTATATTATAATAAATTACAACATGTATAACACATTTTATAATTAACAAATGCTTTTTGTTATCCGATTACAGAATAACAAACTGCTTTGTATTATTGCTGTAATTATAGAGATCTTAAAAATACATAATTATTTATTTAACTCGATTTGTATTACATTAATTCTTTTAAAAATACAACCCGATCCGTTTAAAATAATTTGGTTTGGGGCTGACTTGTAGAAACCTAAAATTGAGTATGCTTTTCAAATGATGCGTTTACACTATCCTGCCAAACCGTCAAGAGAGAAGCAATGTAATTATCGCAATAAAATGTACAGTTATTGTAATTATGTGTGAGTCTATGGAGTTGTATAAAGGCATAATGAGATATTAAATAATAATGTCTTTCTGAATAGTTTTTTTATTAAACCTTGTCTTGCAATCTTCAGTTTTAAGTTGTTATGGTTGAGACTGGTACAATATCTTTATCTTATGATTTTAAAGTGATTCTTTTAATAATTGAAAAATCGAAAATAAATTGAAAAAGTTTTCGACTCGGGCAGGACTTGAACCGGCATCGTCAGCTTTCCGTGCTGTTGCTCTACCAATTGAGCTACCGAGTCTTTTAATGTAATTTTCGGACAGTCACTAAAAGAACATTAATTTAAGTATATACATACCCACCTTTCTAACAACATATTAATTGTAGTATACCTAACCCAAATGAACTTATTTTTGAAATATACTAAAATTTTCTTTTAAAATTACGAGGAAGGGGAAAATAAACTTATTGACAATGAAATTCTGTCTGTAGTTTACGCGAGTAGTACCTACACATTAAATAAAACACTTGAAAGATTGAAACGCGATTTTTTTTTTTTTTAAAACGGCCCGACGATTCGGATGCTTTGCAGCAGCCATTGTCAGTGGGAGACCAAGTAAAACCAAAACGTCGGGCCAGTTAAAAATAAAAATAATTCTCAAACAAGTTTAAGTACAATATATCGCCTTTTAAACCGTTAAACTGTTTTATTTATTGACAATGATTTAATATATGTTAAAAAAAACTATAAAACATTACAAGAATTAACACTATGATAATAATAAAAGACTTTATTGCACAACTTATAAAATACAAACATACATTACATAAAATAGTTATTTATAGAGAAAACGCGCAGTGCACTTTCGTCGTAGGTTCTAGTCGCGCATGTGTTTTTTTTTTTATTTATACTTTATATATATGGCTTTGTCATTTCACTTTCTATAAAGTGATCAACATAAAACTGTATCAAATAAATTTCGAACACCGTTTCACACTTAATCTCATAAAGAGCGTGTAATATTATAAAATAACAAATCAGCAAGCACATTAGCGTACATCAGATGGACATCGATTACATAAAATCGATTTAACATCGAGTCGACGAGCGGGTATCGATTACAGGTAGCTCGTGTTATGCGTAAGCTCACGCGATGCAATTCGATATTTAGCTACTGTGGGCTTAAATTATTCGTATCGATGCTTTCCGATCATGATGCCATCGTATGTATTTCACAGAAATACTGATAGGCACTGTGATAACACTCAAAGTGTACTGATTGGAATTATTAAAAAGGAATGCTGTTTGTATTTAATATGAAAAATATACTTCCGACAAAATTTTTTTCAGGAAAGGAGGTTAACCTCAAGGACAGAGAAATACTTCTAACCTATTGTAGCTTTAGGCAGGCTGAAACCGAAACGTAATTACACTACAGTTCTGCCATTCTAAAGCTTTTCCATTCCTTAATACGCAAGTAGTTAAATTTTCATCGCAAGGTGCACGTATAAATAAGGTAGGATAGCTAAGTAAGGCATATAGATAGGTAAGGTAGCTCAATTGGTTAGAGCAACAGCCAGTAACGTAGACGATACCTGTTCAAGTCCTGCCCGAGTGTAAAATGTTTTTAATTTATTGTCGGTTTTAAACAGATAACTGTTTTGTTTAGAAAAAAATATACAGTTAAATTAATTGTATATTTTTACTGTCTCCAAAAGTCATTGGCTAAGCCCGTTGCCTAAAATCGCGTTGAGGGCGAGAGGTCCTGGGGTCGAATTCCCTCAAAAAAATACATTGTTTTGGTATGGCAGAGCACGGATATTTGATCAACTCCCTGGATAAAATTGATCTGTGAAGGGGAACCAAAACCATGCTCGGCTTTGCCTCAAACCCCACAGGGTTCGAAGGTGCGAAAACTCAAGCGAAATGGCACTACTTCACTGTAAATAGTCACCACGGCTGTAATTAAGGCTTAACTATGAGATCATCAAATGTATCACAAAACCTAGAAGCTGCTTTTCCTTTCGGTTCTGGAACATACAGACGCGTCGACAGTGCAATAATAAGTATTATTTATTTAATACACATAAGGAGATTTAGCTCTATGTCGCTATACTTAGATGGCTAGAGCCTACACACCATTACAAATCAATATCGGGCAGCAGGTGTCTTCACCAAATCAGAGGTCACCAACTGCTGGTCACGCGGCTTGCGCCTTTTGTGTTTGCGCAATTTGTGACGCAGTTGTGAATTCCACTCTTGTTATTTAACGGAAGCGTGAGGGTTGAAATGACAGCAAAATGTAATTGTCTGTGTTTGTTTTCCTGATCATTTACAGATATATAAAATAACATTGAGCGTAACAGAGACGTTCGGTATTAAACCCTGGATCTCAGCTTAGGCATATCATCATTAAACCATGCTTGGTGTCAGCCATCGCGCAGCTTGATAGACATGAAGAGTTCCACTGAAATCCTGTAATTTCAGAGGGCGGTAGGCGTGGCAAAGGTCGCCCAATGGGGTCGGGGTCGCGACCCGAACAACTAATAACTCATTTTATACATATAGTCAACGAGAGATTTCCTAGCTACGCGCAAGCTCGTCTGAAAATTGATTCGCGGGTTTTTTTTGCGGCATGACGCCCAACAACATAATATCCTTCAATATAATAAGTTCACATGAAGAAAGGTGAAATAGTCGCCAAAGAACATCAAAGAAGGAGCACTGCCAACCTATTTTGACTTTAAACGTACGGCTTTTTCCATCTTTGAATGGTATTTCGTGACCTGGACGAATATTTGTGTTTTTGTTTCGAGTATTCATTTGTTTATGTACGGGAAAAACAAAATAATACAATGTTACATCCATAAAATGTACTAAAATCATAGTTATTATTACATCTCTTATCTTCTTCCTACATTTTACGTACACAGCTTAAAAACAGAATATGATGTTAGTAGACTCCAACATTTTGACTCAGTACAGTTAACAATTGAAAAACGTAATCCAAATATAAAAACCGTATAAGTAGATTATAATATGACATTTTAAAACAAACTTTTGGACAAAAATGTAAAAGGGGCAAAGGAGCATAAATATTAACAAAATTTCAACTAAAATCCATAAAAATCCGTCAAATTTCTGAAACTTAGTAGGTAGTTGTAGTGTTTATGTCCAGTTTATTAACAATAGACAAATGGTTATGAACACACTTTGTAAATAACAGACATGATGAAAAAGGTAAAAATTAGAGAAGCTGTGGGTATGCATTGTGATGTTTGGAGATGTGACCGATAAGACAGACAGACGTCTTCTAAACGGCAACGCTTGTACAAATGTTCACGTAGCGAATAGAGAAAGTTATGGAGCTAAATGATAACTTAGTTGTCAACAAAGTATCGAAATCATACAAATAATGCTTTGCCGGTATATTGGTAAACGCGAAGGCACCGTTAGTCAATTCTGTAAGAACGCTAGCGTAGCAATTTTTTACTTTGACGTCAGAGACTCCCTCCATCTTTAGTCACCCCGTGACCACGGCTGCTGCAAAGCAACCGAAACGTCGGGCCGAAGTTAAAACTCATTTTCAAAAAAGTTTAACTAATATATCGCGTTTTAAACCGTTCAAGTGTTTTATTTAAATGTGTACTACTCGCGTAAACTATAGACAGTATTTAATTTATGTTTACTTATATATTTGATGTCGCATGTAATAAATTATAAATTTATTAATGTAAAGTTATAAGATAATTAGATAAGCTAGCTTAGATAAATCTTTAGTGTTTAAAG